TATTGAAAGACCACCGACAAATCGCATATCAGAGTCGAGCGACGTGAGAAACTATTGACGAATGTAACCACATATCCTAATCCAATCCGAGAGTCCAAAGCAGGGAAGATCATCAGGATAATAAATGAGTGTCATCTTGATCAGTCAGTGCATCGTTAAATCTAACACCGAGAATATATATATATAAACGACCAAAAGCGTGCCAAAAAGTAGATGAGAACGTGCCATAAAGGCAGAGAAAACGTGCCATAAAGACTGAAATAATTAAAACTAAAAATTATAAGAAAAATAAATATTTAATATAAGAAAATAAATGAAAAATAAGAAGCATCGACGGTCGACAATCTACACTAAATCTAATGTCGCCTCCGATCACGCAAAAATATAAAAAAGAGTGGAGCAAGAAAAATATTTTTTACTTTAAAAGAAAGTAAATAATATTTTTCCGTAACAATCTAAAAGATATTAAATCTATGAAACGAAATTTATTAAATGTTATAGCATAGTTTAAAATACAATAAGTCATATTCATTAGATTCGTTATATCATTTTAGTATGGGAAAGTCTTATATTTATTGTAACTAACAATAAATTTGACAGGGGTTAAAACGTCTTTTAGATTAAGATAATATAAAATAAATTTTTTATCTGAACAAAAAATTTCGAGTTAATTAATCCGATCAAATTAAATATTATTTATTTATACTTGTACATTTTATATTACAAGTGTTTATAAAAGTCCGACAAAACTATACCAACAATGTTCATTTATCTTTTAAAAATATCGTACATATATGTAAAGTAATTAAGATTGTAATTACAATAAATCTCGTATCATCTATCTTTCTAACTTGATGAACTCTACTTAATTTCAAATCATAATTTTTTCTCCCTTGTGTCTTTCTAGAAATACAAAATCAGGTCTATTGAATTAATCCTTTTTTGTTCAAACTACTTAATTTGGCAAAGTGTAATAAGATTGGTATAAGAGTCGGAACTTTGAACCAAACATAACCTTCATATTCTCTTCTTACCAAGGACTGAGAAAAGTCCGAAACTTTGAACCAACAAAGCACAACAGCTTTCGGTAGAAGAAAAGGAATGGGTTCATTTGACAAAAATTTCCAGAAATGTCTACTTTTCAACATTTTTGACACCACCGCTGCCAAATGTGTAAAATTAACATTCCCACAAGCTTCCTCTGAATTTCCATCACTTTTCAATTGTGTTGATTTGCAGCTCAAGGCTCTCATGCACATTGTCAAACCATTTTAAGATAAATAAATATATGTCTTAGATTCGTATATGATGTGATCTTCACTAGCTTGGTTTGATTTCCGACAAAAATTGCTGATTTCTGCAAGAAAACTGGAATTTCCAGGAAATTGAGAATGTTATCTAAGAGGAGTGTATGACTCTAACTACTACTAAATAACAATATATAATACTTACGTTTTTTTTTTTCTTTTGGGTTTAATTATCCACATAAGCAAATTGGGGTTTAGTATTAATTCAAAAATGATGCAAAAAAAATGTTAACAAAAAGTTGTTGAGTTTTTATTAACGTCATTTATGGGAAGAATTATCATTTTCTATATCAACTTAATTACTATAATAATTTGATTATTCAAATATATATATATACTTGTAATGGGTCTTAATTTGACTCTTGAAAAGTTGTAAGGATTAATAGAATCTTCAAATTGTAATAACATAAAAGTTTATATATTCATTATTTGTTGGTAGATCTTTTAGACAAAAGTTAAAGATTCACATTTTGTTACGAATGAAAAAAAATTGAATTAAAAATTTGCTGGGAGGATTCAAAGTTTATTTATCCATTATTCGTTGGCAGATCTTTAAGTTTGCGAATGAAGTAAATTGAGTTGAAAGAGATGTCTGTTGTCCCATAATCTACCTTTGTAAAACTCAATCTAAAATAGTCGATCAATTAGACTGAATAACGGTGGTTTAACAAAACAAATATTTTCGTAATAAATCTTTATAAGATTCGATATGAATCAATTAATTCAATTTCCCCCTAAACTATAGTGTTACACTGTTAATTATTAATATTTTCTCGAAAACTATAACATTACACTATTATTCGTCACCCTCCCCAAAACTATAGGATTACACTACGAATTGTAAAAGAAATCTCTAAAACTATAGTATTACACTATTAATTGTTTAATTAAGCGAAAGTATGAACGAATTAAAAATATAAGCGAAAGTTCTATGTTAAACCAGTCACTTAAACAATCAAATCATGTATTTAGCGAAAGTTCCCTTCACTAACGGTCCAATTTCGCATTTGCAACTGTAATAATATTATATATGAAGAAGGAAGTATGGGTCTGCCTTTCTCTCTATGCCCAGTTCTTACTTCAATTCACGTGCTTTTGACAATGGCCTCTCCCGCTCCATGCAACTATATATAACATGCAAATTCTCAAAGCTTTCATCATCTTCAAAGCATCAATTCTCAAAACCCTGTCCATAATTTCTAGCCTCATCTTTCTCTCAAAAACACCAAAATTCTCAATGGCTGATGTTCAGCACCAGAACCCTCCTTTGATCGTCTCCAAGATTGCCATCATTGGAGCCGGTGTTAGTGGCATCGCTGCTACTAAACACCTATCTCACCATAACCCGGTTGTTTTCGAGGCCACGGATTCTGTAGGCGGGGTGTGGAAAACCTGTGCTTATAACTCCACGAAACTACAATCGGCTCACAAGGATTATGAGTTTTCGGATTTCCCATGGCCTAATAGAGATGATCCAAGTTTTCCCACTCATGTTGAGATTGTGGATTACTTGGAATCATATGCTAAACACTTTGATGTGTTGAAGTTTGTCAAGTTCAATTCAAAGGTGATGGAGCTCCGTTTTGTTGGTCACCGGGAATCAATCGAGCTTGCTGGAAATCCTGGGGGCTATGTGAGTCCATTGCTGGGCCACCCTGTTTGGCAGGTTGCTGTGCAAACTAACGATTCACAAATCCTTCAGGTTTGTTGCTTTAAATCAATTATCCAACAAACTAAAAAGGGTTTATGACGTGTCAAAAATATGTTATTATATCCATATTTTGGACAGTCTGATGAACATGCTTAATTCTTATTGTTGACCCTTGCAGTGGTATGCCTTTGAGTTTGTGGTTGTTTGCATTGGAAAATACGGGGATATACCCAAAAGTCCAAATTTCCCAAACAACAAAGGTCCTGAAGTGTTCCAAGGCAAGGTCCTTCATTCCCTGGATTACTGCAAGCTGGACAAGGATGCTGCTACTCAACTACTCAAAGGGAAAAAAGTTGCAGTCATTGGCTACAAAAAGTCCGCCATTGATCTAGCTGTTGAATGTGCAGAAGCAAATCAAGGTAAGTGATACAATGAAACCAAGTTTTCTCATCGGCAATTGATTCTCTAGTGTAGAGACATAACAGTAGTTGTGTTTTGTCATACGTGTAAATTTTGCTCCAGTGTTATATGGGGGCAGGTAAGGGAAATGAGCCCATGATTTTCCACGTTAGGAAGGTCGAAATTTGCATGGATTTTGGGTTAAAATTAAAAGGTCAAACGCATGACCAACCACGTACAGTTTGATTTTTTGCGGTAGATTTCGGACTTTTTTTATTAGCACCTTTTCAACGTTTCTGAAACATAGCATTGGAATTCCAATATGGGATTTAAGAGTTTGACGATCCGAGTGGGACATATTAAGAAAACTTTTAATGAAAATGACATGTAAATCCGTCTCAATCAATTTTTCCTATATTGTCAAGTTATTTCATTTGACAAATATGTATACATAATGAAATATTAATCAACTATGGTGCTAATTTCTATTCCAAATGACGACTTAAAGGGCCAGAAGGGCAAGCATGCACCATGGTAGTAAGGACACTTCACTGGACTGTTCCACATTATTGGGTGTGGGGTTTGCCTTTCTTCTTGTTCTATTCAACAAGATCTTCTCAGTTCCTCCATGAAAGGCCTAACCAAGGCATTCTCAGGACCCTGCTCTGCTACTTGTTCTCGCCCTTGGTAAGTCAACATTTCTCGACTCAAAGGCCTTTAAACACAAATACATATACAAACTGATGCTTTTTTTTTTTGGGGGGGGGGGGGACAGAGGCGAGGGGTTTCGAAGTTCATCGAGTCCTACTTGCTTTGGAAACTTCCATTACAAAAGTATGGATTGAAACCACAGCACCCATTTGAAGAAGATTACGCATCATGTCAGATGGCCATCATGCCTGAAAATTTCTTCACCGAGGCTGATAAGGGAAAAATTGTTTTCAAGAAATCATCAAACTGGTGGTTCTGGAAAGAAGGAATTCAATTCGATGACAATACCAAAACGAAGGCTGACGTTGTCATTCTCGCAACTGGTTATGACGGAAAGAAGAAACTCAAAAGTATTTTACCAGACCCATTCCGTAGTTTAATCGAGTATCATCCTTCTGGGATCATGCCCCTGTATAGGTAAAAAACCAACACTTAGTTTGGGAGTTATCTATAAGATTTTCAGAAGACTAATTTGTGTTTTCGGCAGGGGCACGATCCACCCATTGATACCGAACATGGCGTTCGTGGGTTATATCGAAAGTGTTGCAAACCTTCACACATCGGAGCTGCTTAGCATCTGGCTTGCTCGATATGTAGACGAAAAGTTTAAGCTCCCGAGTGCCGAAAATATGCTGGAACAGATATTCAAGGAGATGGAGGTGTCGAGGAGGACAACCAGGTTCTACAAGAGGCACTGCATTTCGACGTTTAGCATCAATCACAGTGATGAAATATGTGAAGAAATGGGATGGAATTCTTGGAGGAAGAGAAGCTGGTTTGCAGAAGCGTTTAGCCCTTATGGCAGTCAGGATTATAGTCACAAAAACTAAAATGATCACACAGTCTATTCTTTTTTTAAAAAAAATTAATGCGCATCTCAGAAAAGAATCAGCTGATGCTGGAGAGGAAATAATAAATGTTAAAAAATGAAGTAAGCATCAATTCATCATAGAGAGTCATTCAATTTCAGTGTCCTTAAAAAGGACTTTTAGGGGTTTCCTGTGTTTTTCATATCAGTTGAAAGGGGGGAAATAAAATAAATGAAACAAAGAAGAGCGTTATTAACATCATTTGATGTATAGAATCAGTGCACACAGGAATTATTAGGAAGGGCAGTAGATTTTTGTTATCCAATACAAGTGAGAAGCTACAAAACTGAACGGCCGCATTGTCTAAACTCATTTAACCCGCGCTGTATCTTGTCTAATGTGGTTTTGGAACATATCCATCAACAGCAAAGTTTCGAGTGGCAGCAGGGATTGCTAAACGAATTCCATCAAGTTCAGGCCTTGCAATTATTTGACATCCCAGTCGGGACCTGAAAAGTACAAGAACATGACAATCCATTTAGATTAAACTTCAACACACGTGCGCGCACACATATATTCTAGGTGAACTAACTCACGTTTCTGTAAGCGCAAAGGCCAGGTCCAACATGTCATTCTCTTCATCACTTGGATCTTCTAATTTATTATAGTACTCCGTATCCTAGCAAAAAAGCTTCAATAGTTAGTCCTTAATAGTTAGGTTGAAAGAATATTATGAATAAACATGAATCAATCGACATGTTAAGTGTTTGATTAGCATACCGTCACTATGACGTGGCATGTTGAACAGGCAAGTGAACCCTCACATGCTCCTGAAACAACACCACAAGCATACATTAATTTTTACCAAAACATGTTACTTTATATCACAAAAGAAGGAGATTTAAAATCACACTATGCTATACTTCAATTGGTAATACATCCTTCGTGTGAACAAAATGTGTTTCAAGACAGACACGTCATTATAAAAGGATTTCAGTAAAACGAATTACTCGAAGAAGACAACAAATAGGTCCAAGGAACGCTACAAAAGTAATGGATCAAGGATAGATCATAAGCCTTGCCTTCAAGCTCTATATCATTTTGATGAGCTGCTTCCAACATCGACATTCCAACAGGCACTTGAATGGGGATTTCTTCTCCATCCTTTGAAACAAATGTGACAGATATCCTGAAAAATAAGATAATTTAATTCAAGTAAAATGGAGGAAAAAACACAATTATAGATTAAAATGCTTATAGAACCATTAAGTGTTTAAAGAACAATGTTGTGGTGCTATCAAACTCCAGACTTTCAATGTCGATGAATGAATTGCAATCTGAATCCTCCACCAACTAAAAGTTTAAGAGCCCGATTGCGAAGAGATGGACAATAGAGCAGAAAAATACACAAATTCTGGTCAAAGACGCTTGCATACTTAGAGAAAAGTCCTTGTATTGAGGGGTTCTGGTGCTCTGGATGCCACCCTACTCCCATATCAGATGAGAATTAACGGACCCTGAAGGTTCAAGTTTGCTTTGAAGCATGCTAAAATTTGTCTAAACAAAATATGAAGTCCTTCCTGACAAGGAAATGCTTTTCCTAGGTGGTGTCAGCATAGAATAACTCAAACTGAATTGAAGTTACATCATCTCTCCAAGAACTAGTAAATCAAAATTAAGTCCGTGGTTTTCATCTGCACAATCTAAATAATTCACCAACACAGGAAGACAAGAACTACAAAAAATACACAACTTCATGAAGCAGCCGTAGGTACCATGCTAATACAATTTTATTATAGAAACTTACGTTTCTTTCTGTTCATCTCCTCCCTCAGAAGCATTGTTGGAAGCTGAGGTACAAAAATCCCGATGCTTCAGAAATATGCCCCCTTGAAAAGCGCTAGTTTCTGGCAGTAAGTCAAGCTATCCAAAAAAATTGAAGGAGTAAAAGATTGTGGGAAAACTCTACAAATTATTCGCTAAAAGTGAAATCTTCTTCAGATAAATAACTAATACTGAAATCTGTTTCTTACCCAATTCTGTAAAGTGCAATACCAACTATTTGTCTACCATTCTTCAATTTTTATACCAATATCAACCACGGGTTTGTCAATGTATTCTGGCAAGTACTGTCACCTAAAACTTATTACTATTTGGATTTCCTCACATGTTCAGTATGCTTACCATATTTTTCGCACAACTGTAATCCAAGTTTTGGTTCTATATTCCTACGCCTCTGATAAATCCCAAAATTGTTACTATCTAAAATTAATCAAATCATTCCATCTCATTACTAAACAAAATTACTGCCACACTATTTATACTGTAGATATTATAAGAGAACACTCTTTTCACACGAAAACCAATCTGTGAAATGCTGCCAATTAGCTCATCTAAAACCTCAATTTACTTGAAGTCATGAACGAAAAATATAACCTAAAGATTATCTTCATATGAATCAGCCTAATTAGAAAAGAGGGCAAGGCCTGCCATTAGCTCACTAATTAGTGTAGTCAAAGTATTTCGTGTCCTAAAAGTCATAAGGCATCCACTATAGGGTAACAAAAGTATCTCCATAATTCAAGATAATTAACAGGGACAAGCATATCATAATCACTAGATTAACTTTGAACATTGTCCATAATAACTGATACAAGAGTGAACTTTAACTCGTGTCCTAGACTGCTTTCAGTGACAAAACATCTAGATAAGGCATGTCAAAATATTTCTTGCATATTTTTGAAAAAATAAACGAAATTAGTAACCACTGACCGGAGAATTCTGGTATTGTCGACAGGGCCCTTGTCTAAATCTTGTTCTAGAGATACAAGTATATCCGCCTATGGAAAGGAATGCAATTTAGAGTCAATTCAGTATATGAAAAATCATTTCATTAAAATCAAGCATCAGTAACCCACAAAACATACCACTCTAACTAAAGCAAAATTGCCTGCTTAGAAACTACAAGGGGGTCTCAAAATTTTATTAAGTAGAAGCTCTAAATATTTATAATGCCAATTTCCATAGAATCAAGCAGTAACAAATGAACCCAAATTGAAAGCAGTAACAAACCTCTCGATAGTTCTTTGGCAATCCAAAATCCAACTCTAGAAAGCCTAGAAATTAACATAATTTGATGTCGTAAAACAGAGCCCTGTTTAAAGGAGAAAACATAAGTATGCTTGGGAACTTAAGAAACGTCAAACTGTTAACAATCATAACAAATATCCGAAAGGACTAGCTTTTGAAGCTTTAAGCGACAAAGTTCAACTGGGTATTCAGCTAAGACGCTGCTAATTAATCAATATAGGTTTAAATCCCCAGAAAGTTCAAAGAAAAATCAATTAAGAAATGAGCTTAAGAAAAAAGAACATACCTTTCCGCAAAGAGATGAACAGAGGAAATTTGAATCAGGTTTGGGCGAATCAAAGTAGGATTCTAAATTGTACTACGAATGTTCCAATTTCTTTTGAAGCGTTCGAGGGGAATAGGTCGCCACGGCGAGGGCGGGTCTTTTGAGTAAACAATATGCGCCGCAGGGAGAGACGAGAGAATTCGAGACCAAAACATCCACAGCAAAACTAAAAACGACGCTGTCATGGAGAATGAATAAGGAGAATAAAATAATAGTAAAAGATGGAGATGCGGGGGATCGAACCCAGTGCCTCTCGCGTGCAAAGCTAGCGCTCTACCATTTGAGCTACATCCCCCATATTAAGATTTCAACAATATAATATATTTGTAGTTTATAGTGAAAGAAAAATGACCGAAAGAAAATAAATAAAAACTGGAGATGCAGGGAATCAAACCCCGTGCCTCTCGCATGCAAAACGAATACTTTACTATTTGAGCTACATCCTCTAGATTCATCCTGGATTAATGTATTTATAATATAAAGATTCTTTTGAAGGGCTTAGCTAATTTGAGATTTCAAAGCTCATCAAATTTTTATAAACAAATAATGTAAAGAATCATTTTAGACATAAAAATTAAATGTCTATAATATATTGATCTCAAAAGTGATGTTTAGATTAACTATTATTACATTGTTAGAGGATAAAATCTCTATGTTTATATGAATTAAACTACCTTAATAATTAAAAGATTAATTATTGTTTCTTGATATCCTGAGTTTGAACACCGCATGTATAAGGATACGAGCGTTCATTGTCAAATAATTAAGAGTTATTGAACATATATTACTTTGTATTCCTCCCAATTTATTAAAAAAATCTATGTCTCTTGTTAATATATATTTTATTTTATTGGATCTTAGCCAAAAGATAATAAAAGTACATACCTTCGTTACAATCGCTTAACCTAAAGAAAATTCGGATGCGACAATCAATGAAACGACGGATTTTTACCGGTAATAGTTCAAAAACCCAAAAATAAAAAACAAACAAACAAAAACTTTGAAATTTCTGTGACTAAGATTTATATTTCTTTTCGGTATACCGTTTGGTGTTTTTCTTGGAATCATTTGTCGTAATTTTCTCATTCGATTTCTCTCACTGAACTACTTTGCTTACCATTCCCTAATTTCCTCCTTCGCAATGGCTTTCCTTCCTATGGGTTCTCTGCTGGTTCCCCGCTCATATTAAGGTAACAAGCTTTTCCTTCTTTTTTTCTTGCATAATGACAAAAATTTATGTGAAAAAAATTGTCTTGATTAATTTGCTTCAGTTATTGGGATTCGTCTCTTTTCAAGGGATTAATTCATTTGCTTTGGTTATTGGGTTTCTTCTCTTTTCACTATGGCGCCTGTAGACTCAACGATGGTGCAGCAAAGTGGTGGTGCCAAGTTTACCGGAATCAAGCAGATCGTTGGACTAAAAGGAATGCTTCAGAAGTGGCAGACTGTCACATTTGGCTCCAGACCAAACGCCCATAATTCAAAAGGAAACCATGGGGATGTCTCACAACCAATCCGCAAGGTCCAAACAAATATAACACAATTACGATTCCGACGACGAACGTTTCTGAAACTCTGAACCGCGCCCGATGTTCCCAAGGGGTATTTGGCGGTCTATTTCGGACCGGAGCTTCGGAGGTTCATCATCTCAACCAGCTACCTCAGCCACCATGTTTTCAAGATTCTGCTGGAAAAAGCCGAGGAAGAATTTGGATATGATCACAATGGTGGCCGTACTCTCCCTTGTGAGATCGAGACCTTCAAGTATCTCCTCAGCTACATCGAGAACCAGCCTAAAGGTCACAATGTCGGAGGAGACCCAATTTCCGAGATAATTACTTTATTCGTACTTAACTTTGAGCATTTTAAGTTCTTGGACGATCTTATGTTGCTTCTGGGTCAAGCTCTTGATTTATCTCCATTATTATCAAACCATTCCTTATTATAATAGTTTTTATATAATTTTATGTTTGGGATTAAGATTTATAACTTATATTACATAAGAAAAAAATATGACATCGAACAACGATGATGTACAATATTTTCATTACAAAATGTACACAAGAATGTTACGTTTGGTCTCCATTAGCGTAAAACTCGACAAGTTTCTCCAAGATCACGGCCTGAGGATCGGCATTTTCGAGCATCCAAATCAAGTGTTCAAACAAGACAACCTTGCATGACACAATGATGATGGTGTCGTTTTTGCCAGTCGACCGCCCCGCGAGCTCAGGGAACAAAGGGCTTTTGATAATGTCAGGGCTAATAAGGTACTGCCTTCGGGATTTTCCCACGTAGACAGGCTGGAGATTTGCCGATGATTCCTTGTCAATATCGGAAGCCGCCGCTACCGAGCTTGATGTAGGGCGGCTTTGCTTGTTGTTGAATGAGTTTAGTTTCTTGAGAAGAGACTTAAGCTTCATTAGCTTGTCGCTGCCTTTCATCATTGCCTTTTCTTCTTAGGAAGGTTTAAGGATTTTGCAATAAATTTGGGAAGATTTTGACTGCAAAGGCCGAATTGAGAAGAAATAACCGGGCAAACTTTTTACAATAATGTTCTGAGAAAAATATTACTCGAATGATGATGAATCAGAATTATTTACTCGAATAACACATTTACTACAGAACCACCTTGAGACACAAGGACCCCAATGTTCTTCGATTGAAATGTGAGGAGACATTAGGCCTATAATGCGTATTCGCCTTTTATAAGTAAATATAGAATGACTATAGAGGCCGACGTCATGATGCAATATAGGGAAGGAGAAAAGCATATCCAATTTCAACTAGTCAACTAGACTGATTATGGAGGCCTGTAATGCATTTTTTTTACTTTTTTTTTTCTCAACCTGGTCAAAACAAAGATAAAAGGGAGAGACGCATTTCAGCCATGATATCTCCGTAGTATTATATTCGTAGACGCACTGGGTTCATGCATCATATTGAGTTCATGTAACAAATGTATCATTCGAACAAATAATTACGTTTCATCATTATTCGATCAATTTTTTTTCAAACCATTGTCGTAAAAATTTGCCCAAATAACTGATTGCGAGATAAGGACGAAAGTTCGTTATTTTATAAAGGAGATATAGAAGGGTGAAATCGTAAATTCATTGAAATGTGGCCACATCGCTTGGACTCACGTGTAGGTTCTTAATTTATAAAATTAGGAAAAATTTAGAATGGACATCGCACCGAAACACACTATTAATGTAATGCATTGATGCACAACACTAATTAAAATATATTTATTAAATAAATATGAAATAATATAATAACTTATTAATAATTAATCCATTATTATTATTTAATATAAATTTTAATAGATATATAATTGATTATATTTTTTTATTAAAATTATAATTGTTTTAAAAAATTTTGTTTGTTTAGAATTGGAGCACTAAGTTTATTTAAGTTTGCAAAATCATCCTAGAGCAACCATCAAAACCACTGCTGGTGAGCCTATCTTCACTAGAAAATCATATTGCAAAATGTGTGTCAACCCCACATGGAGAGGCTTAAGCAAATCGACCAAAACCATTCAAATTCTTCAACTTCTGGACTCTTCATCCTAATTTCTTAAATGCAATTCGACAGTCATGGCAACCACATATTCAAGGAAACCCGATGAAGGTTTTTTCCTTAAGATTAAGCGTCTAAAATCATGCCTCAAAATCATAAACAAAGAATGTTACAGTGATATTTCTGCTCGAGTGCGTCAAAAGAAAAGCGAGCTTGAACAACATCAACTATCTACTCTAAGAGGAGAAGACACTATTGAAAAAGAGTTGAAGTTGCAGAATGAGCTTTTATCCCTTGAAGAAGCAAAGTTCATGTACTTAAAACAAAAAGTCAACGTGCAATGGTTAAAAGAGGGCGACAAATGCACTAAATTCTTCCATTCTATTATTGCAGGTAAAAACAAAAGAGACACCATGCGAATTCTTGTTAATGACCAAGGCAAAAGGCTTGAATCCTTTGATGAAATGACTTCTGAAGTAACTAAATTTTACTCAAGTCTTTTAGGAACTGCGAATTCTGGGGTTAAAAACATCGAGCCTAATCTTTTGAAAGATCTAATGCAATTTAATTTGCCTTTAGACGTTTCTTCCAACCTTATTAAGGAAGTAACTAGTGAAGAGATCCAAGAAGAAAATTTCAACCAATGAAATGACAAATCACCTGGTCCTGATGGATTCACACCATACTTTTTCAAAATGTCCTGGTCAGTGGTTGGAAAAGATGTAGTAAATGCTTCTTTCAAGAGACTTTCATCCTTCCATCTTTCAATGCTACTACCATTGTTTTGGTTCCAAAGTTTCCCAATCCCAACTGGGTAAGAGACTTTCGGCCAATTTCATATTGCTATGTCGTTTACAAGACAATTACAAAGATCTTAGTCAAAAGGTTAACTCCACTTCTTCCATGGATAATTTCTCTCAACCAATCAGCTTTTGTAAAAGGTAGAAATATTGTTGATAACACCCTCCTTGCTCAAGAACTGGTGAGAGGTTATGGAATGAAAGTTATCTCTCCTAGATGTGCTTTAAAAATTGACTTACACAAGGCTTTTGACACTTTACACTGGGGTTTCATTTCTGCTATGCTTAAGGCTTTACAGCTTTCTAATACTTTCATTGGTTGGATTGAATCCTGCTTTAAAGAAGCTAGATACTCCATCTCTTTCAATGAAAGCTTGATTGGCTTCTTCCAAGGTGCAAGGGGAATAAGACAAGGTGACCCTCTATCTCCTATCTTATTTTTTCTTGCAATTAATATGCTATATTCTCTCCTTAATTTGGCAGTTGTGAAAGACTTGTTCGGATACCATCCTAAATGTAAGCAGATCGACCTCACTCACCTTTCTTTTGCAGTTGACCTACTAATATTCTGTAAGGGAAATATTGAATATGTTTATGGAGTCATTAGTATCTTGGACCAATTCTATGAAATGTCTGGGCTAAAACTTAATTATGCCAAATGTAAACTTTATACTGCTGGAATCATTTTCAGAAATCTTGAGCATATTTTACATTCCACGAGATTCAAACAAGGCTGCTTTCCAATGAGATACTTAGGGGTTCCTTTAGTCACAAGGAAATTCACTGAAAAAGACTGTGTGGTTCTTATTGAAAAGATCAAATCAAAACTTCACCACTGGTCGGGAAAGCACTTGAGCTACGCCGGCAGATTAGAACTTATCAAAGCTGTCATTTTCAGTATTGCAAACTACCGATGTAGACAGTTAATTCTACCTCATACTATTATTAACAAGATTAAACAACTTTGCTCTAGATTTTTCTGAAAATGTACTGATAAGGCCGCCTCTGAAGCCAGAGTTAGCTAGAAGAAGATCTGCTTAGCAAAATCTGAGGGAGGACTCGGCTTAAAAGATATTAAAACATGGAACATAGCATGTATGGTACAACTTATCAGGAATATCCTTGCAAGAAAGGGATCATTGTGGGTAGCTTGGATCAAAAGCTACGTTATCAAAGATACATACTTTATGTTAGTGGAAGTTATAACAAATTCTAGCTGGTGTATCAGACGCTTACTTAAACTAAGGGCAATTATAATCCCCGTTTTATCCACAGGAGCTACGAAGACAAAAGATTTATTGAAAGAAATACGGATAAGAGGAGATAAAGTCACATGGCACAAATTGATATGGTTTCCTCTACACGTTCCCAAACATTGCATGATTACATGGATGGTTGTTCTAGATAGAATCCCAACTAGAGAGAGACTCCTAAGATTAGGAATTGTAACCGATGATTCATGTATAATTTGCAATGAAGCTACAGAGACTATGGACCACCTGTTTAGTGAGTGCTCTCTGGAAGTTTCCTTATGGAAGGCTATTCTGATCTCTCCGGCTTAAGCATTCCTTCATTACCATGGGTGAGCATGTTAGACTGGGCCAGTGGTGCTTGGAAAGGTAAATCCCTCCTCACTACTATTTTGAAACTTGCTTGGTGCGCATTAATCTATTCTTTATGGGAGGAAAGAAATAGAAGATTGTACCGAGGAAGCACAAGAAGTGAGAAAGAAATTATAAGTTCAATTAAGGAGATTGTAGGTATTCAATTAAGAGGAATGAATATAAATAGATTAGATAGTCTCAATATTTACCTTTGTAATCGTTGGGGTGTTGACCACACACTTTTGTTGTAGTAGGTTGCCTTTTATCCCATTGATGGGAGATTTTATATAGCAGAATTATGCATCTTGAGTAATAAAAATTAAAATTATCCCAAAAAAATTATGGCCCTTTTAACTTGTAATAGGCTACTTCTTTACAATAAGTAGATTATATTTATTACTTTCACATTTAGAATTTATCCTTCAAATAGTGCTCTAAAAGTCACAAAATTTCTTCGAACAACCCCAATGTATCATCTTGCAAGACAAGTTTACGATTTCTTCAGATCCTAACAGCCAATCTTCACTACAACAAAATGGGTCTATAACGGCATTTCTAGAACAAACGTCGTTAAATACTAGTACTTTAGTGGCGTTTTTATACAAACGCCGCTAAAGACTGTACTTTAGTGGCATTTTCATACAAACGTCGCCAAAGTATATTATTTAGTGGCGTTTTCAAAACAAGCGCCGCTATAGATTAGTATTTTAGTGGCGTTTTTATACAAACGCCGTTAAAGAATGTACTTTAGTGGCGTTTTTTGAAAAACACCGCTATAGACTAGTACTTTTGTGGCGTTTTTATACAAATGCCGCTAAAATACTGTACTTTAGTGGTGTTTTTGAACAAACGCCGCTAAAGTACTGTTCTTTAGTGGTATTTTTTGAACAAACGCCGCTATAGACTAGTATTTTTATGGCGCTTTTATACAAACGCCGCTAAATACTGTACTTTTGTGGCATTTTTAGGATAAACGTCGCAAGTTTACAAATTTTAAATCCCACACCCCTTTAACCATTTTTCATTTTTCTCACTTCACTTATTTTTTCATTCTGAAGTTATTGAAAGAGGAGGTGGTGGAGGGAGAGGGAAAAGAGGAAGAGGGACGACCGCTATGACAGACGACCATCTATTCAACATCTCCCTCGGCGGCCGAGGTGGCACGATTAGTTCGTTCTGTTGCTCGAACTTTCTCTATGTTTCTTTTTTACTCTAGAAAACTTAGGTTTCTGTATTTCCTTTTCTTGCACTCTTTTTAAATCATTTCGTGACCCTAAATTCGTTCTTAATTTATTTGATTTCACGTAACTTCGATATGTTCAGTTTAAACTTTGGAGGAAAATCGACCGGTTCTTTCAGTGTTTTTGTTTGTTGTTATTGCTAGGGCTTCTCATTTTTCTAGTGATTATAAATTTTACTTCAAATTTTATGGTTTTTTTTGTTTTATGTTACTATATGCTGACATTTTCTCGCATGCAAAATTTCATCTCTTATTGTCAAATTCAACAAATATATCTTC